TTCTGATTTTAACAGGACCATAACATGTTGTGATTTTAAAACCTTCTTTAGTACTTCCCCCCGACTCAAATTGGTAATAGAACCATACTTCTTATCCTAATTACACTCTGACTTACCAAACACAGTACAGACACCGATCAGCAAAGAGGGACATCTTCATAAGTAGTCCCTGAACAGTGGCCCAGTGCTGCATGCAAGGACCTCCTCCAGAATGGTCATCCTCGATTTTGACTTAAACCCTTCCACAACAGAAAACTGAAAAGCTGTCCAATTCCATCTTCAAAACCATCCATCAAACTACTAAAAAGATCTTCCACATATTTATCTCACTGTAACTTTTCCCTACTGCACCTAGTTCCATACCATAGAACTTTTTCCATTAGACAAACTCTTAAGTTTTAACAAAGCTATGATGAGCTGCAAAATCCCATTTTCTGGTCAGAATCCTTAATTCTTTGAACCACTCCTCAGATCCTAGTTTTATAACCTTTCAGCACTCAGGTCACTCCCCATGACTGACTCTAGTGGTCTGATATTGAGAGGAGCATGTACAGTAACCCACCCGTACCTCGACTTGCTAAGATCTGTAAAATTGGGATATAATAGTACATATACTACATTAGATGATGATAGGTGCTATGGAGAAAAATATACAGCAGGGTAAGAGGAAAATGGAGGTCTCCAGCAGGCCAGAGGGTAGGAGGGGGGTTGCTATGTTATATATAGTAGCCTAGGAAGGACTCTCTGAAAGGTACATTTGAGCAGAGAACTGAGGAAGTGAGGAAGCAAACTATGTGGGTATTTGGAAGAGAACTCTGGCCAAAATAAAAGTAAATACAAACGATGTGTACTTGGTGTGGTCTGAGGAGCAGCAAGGAAGCAGGCTGAGGAAGAATGATAGGGAGAGCAGTCAGAAATGGGCAGAGGGGTAGCACTGTAGAACTTTGTAGGCTTGCTTTTATCTTAAGTGAGATGAAGAAGGCACCAGAAGACTGAGACTGCCTAACTTGGGTTTTAAATGACAGCTATGTTGAGAATACACTGCACAGGAAACAAATAGGAAGTTCAGGCAATAACTGAAATAAGTGATGAAAGTGGCTTGGACAACGGTGACAGAGTGAAGGTCTGTAAGAGATGATCAATTTCTAGATATACTGTGAAGATACGGCCAACAGGGATTGCTGATGAATGTATACAGAACGTAAGTGAGAGAGAGAAGTCTGGGATGACTACACGGTTTTTTGGCAAGGTGGGTTTGTATTCCAGGAGACTCTGCCACTTACTGTGTGACCTAGGAAAGTTACTTACCAAGTCAGCCACAGTCTCTCCATCTGTAAAGTGGGGATATTAACAGTATCTGTCTAGTAAGACTGTTGTGAAGAATATATGTTTAAAAAAAAAAAAAAGCTTAGAGGAATACCTTCCACTATATAAGCACCAGGTGAGTATTGCTGGCATCAACATTATTAGCTTGCTTGTGCAAAGATGGAGTTACAGGAAGAACAGGTTTGAGAGTGTGATAAAGATCAGGAATTCAGTTTTGAATGTATTAATATTCTAGTAGACATCCAAGTGAAGACCTTAAATAGGCAGCTGGTCATAGAGATTAGCAGGAATATCAGGTTTAGAGAAATATATCTGGGAATTGGCAACATATAGATTGTATGAAAACCATGAAAGTAAAAAAGATCCTTCTAAGGAGGAAATATAGAATAAAAAAGAGTCCCCAGGACTGAGCCTTGGGGCACTCAACATTTTAGAAGTTGGGAAAACAATGAGGAACCAGCATTCCCCTTCCAGGAGTGGCACCTTGAATGTCAAAGTAACAAAGTGTTCAAGAAGAAAGGAGTATTCAGCGGTTTCAAATGATGTGGAGAGGTCTAAGAAATGATCATGGATCATTGGGTTTTACAACACAGAGACATTGACAAACCCTGATAATTAAGAATTATTTTGATACAGTGGGGATGAAAGTCGGGTAGAGTAAATTCATGAAAAACTAAGAGAAAATGAACTGGAAACAGAAAATATGGACAGCTCTTCAGAGGAATGCTGATGCAAAAAGGAACAGTGAAATAGGTGAGTATCTAGGGAGTATCCAAGTTTGTTGTTGTTTTAAGATGAAAGAAAACATAGCAGTCTTTAATACCAATGGTAATGCGTCAGTGGGAGAGTAAGAAACAGATGATGCAGGAGAGGAGTAATTGTTGAGACCAGTCCTTAACTAGGCCAGAGGGGACAGAATACAGTGTATTGGGCATGGCTCAGACAAGACTTAAATCATTGGGTTATTAATTCATTTACTCAACATGTTTACTAAGCAAATAATTTGCGCTTGACACTATTCTAAACACTGGGGGACACACTGGTAAACAAAATCATGAGAAAACATATGTAAAGCACTTACAATAATATGACTGGCACATAGTAGGCACCTAACAAGTACCACCTAAATAAAGATAGACCTTAACTATGTTCATTCAAATCTTTGACAAAAGATGTGGACCAAGACAGTGCCCTAAAACTTGCCATTCAAGAACTATGGGAAGAGTCTGAATAACAAGCTTTTGAGTTGATAAAATACTTTTGATAATATGAGAGCATGGCTTTAGAATTCAATGAATGTAACCTCTTAATTTTGCAGAAACCAGTTAAAAAGAGAGAGCCAAGTTGACTTGCCCAAAGTTACTAACTTAATTCAGTGAAGAACCAAGGGCCAAAATTAAAACCCAATTCTCCTACTTCCTACTCTGGTTTTCATTACACTTTTCTTTAACATCTCCCTCCCTCCCTCTCTCTCTCTTACAGAAAGGCTGAAAATGTTAAGATTCCAATCTCTGTCTTCCCTCTACTTATGCCTAGCCCTTCTCCCCCTCCAATTTAACACAGACTATATTTGACTCCATACCCATTTATTTTAATCCAATTAAAAAATATAATTGTTAAAAGATGTTTTGGAGGAGATACAATATTTTAATTACCAAAATTCCAGGTCATTTCCTAACAAAAAAAAAAAAAAAATCTACAATTAAACATAGTCCTGTGCATCACGTATAAAGAAAATATCACCATGTTGATATTGATGGTGAGGAACATTTACTGTAATTGACTTTATACATTTTTAAAATAAAAGTATTTCAAAAACTATTAAATCAGAATAGAGGATCTTTTGTTTTCTAGAAAACCTTAAGGAAATAAATCTATTTTTAAACACCTATTATCAGGACTTTTAGCACCATGGATGGCAGCAGATCCATTTCTTACTTTTAGTATATAAGGCACATTGAAGATACATTGAAAATGCCAATTAAATTAAGTACTCACTGAAGTAAAATTAATTTTCCCTTTTCCTGTCTGCATTTTTAATAATTGTTTAACAGGGGTTTAGGACTCAGTTCTAGTGAATGAGCATTCCACTTCAAACTAAAAGTAGTTTATCTAATATAAATTAATCTATTTGGCAAACCTAATCATTTTATCTTTAAAACAATACCTTTTAGATTCAAGCTTCAAACTCTAGGTTCTATTATGAACTACCTTTCAAGGTTTTGTGTCTTGTTTTTTTTTAAACCCCAGAATGTCCTTCGACTTCTAGCTAAAATCTTCCACTCTGATAATTACTATTCTACGTTTTTTTCTTAACCTATCCTCATCCCCCAAATGTGGCACATCTATACCGGTGTATCTGTAACTGTGCAGCACTCTTACCTCCTTGAGTCACTAAAATGAGCCTATCTCCGACATCAAAGTAAGACAGAAGTAAGATTGTGGAAATAAACATTTCATTTGAAAATTAACCTTCTATTTCCATCCAATAGTAAATGCGACCAAAATATCAGGGACTGTCTTAAAATATCCGGATTTTACCCTCAGTTATACATTCTAAAGAAATAACAATGCCATTTTGGCATTAATAGCACAACCAAGTCCTGAAATGCTCCAACCACCTTCAAGTTCGAACTTGCTTCTCTGAGGAAGCTGCCTGGACAGTCTCAACGACTACCACACACCAAATACGAACTGCCTTTTTCAAATTTAGCAGTGGTGTTCCAGTTTTCGGCATCCTGGTTAAGTGCACATGCATTTTTCTTACGCAGCAGCAGCTTGAGGACAGACAGAGACCTGTTCTACAGGCTGCAAACCCCAGGGACCAATGCAGTGTCTGCCGCGCACAAAGCAGGTACCCACTAAAACTATTAATAGTATATGAGAGGTCTGATATACACAGCTTCATTTAGTCCTTCCAGCAGCCCTAGGAAGCAGGGACTATGCATCATTCCTATTTTACAGATGACCACAAGGAGGCTCAGAAGGGTTAAGTCGCTTTCCCAGAGCACACAGGTAGCAAAGGAGCATCGAACCCGGATTCCAAGCCCGACTTGTCGTGAAGCCTTCTTAACCACTTATTCCTGCGGCCTCCCGAGTACAGAAGGCTCGATTCGGATCCTGGAAAGAAAGGTCACCGGGCAAGCCCAGAGGCTTCTGCCGAGGTTCTGACACCTCGCCCCGCCGCCCAAGTTGAGACGAAACGAGGTTTTTGAGCGCGAAGGGGAATGCGCGGTGGAGTGAATGGGCTCGTTGTGACCCAGGCAGGATCACCCCTCCCCGCCACTCCGATGCCCGAGCTTACACCGAGTGCGGCGGGAAGCCCAGTCCGCCCGCCCCCGCCGGGGACTCCGGGGCTGCCCCACTGAGACTAGACGTGCGGCCTTGGCCGCTCTGAGCCCCGCGCGACTGAGGCGGAGCCGTGCGCCCGGCGGGGAGGAGCGCGAGGTGGCCAAGATGAGGACCGACACGCCTCGGGCGGGAGGGGCAGAAGCGACTCGCCCTCACCCTCGAGCAGCGGCGGGAGCTCTTCGGTGGCTCAGCGACCGAGGGAAGAAGAGAACATGTCAGCAGCCGGTTTCCACCCCCGAGCAACCTGGGAAGAAAAAGACAAACGGCAGCTGTAGCCCGGACGGCGTTTAAGGTGACACCTCCCATCGCCCCGCCTCTTCCCGTGGGCTCCGGGAGCCACTTCCGGCGGCGGCTCCGTAGCCCGCTCCAGGCTCGTGCGGCCCCGGGCCCGTTTCTAACCCCTGATGTCCCCTCGGTCGCGCCGGCGGGACCTCTTTTCGGTCTCCAGGAACCGAGCAGAGGCCGGGAAGGCCTGTCCCGTGCCGTCTCCCGCAGAGCGTCCTGCACTGAGGTGGTAAAATGTGCTGCGAGAAGTGGAGCCGCGTGGCTGAGATGTTTCTCTTCATTGAAGACCTAGAAGAGGATTATAAGATTCTTTGCCTCTGCTCCAGGGCATTTGTGGAGTAAGTAAAAACGTGTTCCTCTTCATCTCTACCACAGTTATTTCCCAGAAATGTAGGCCTTGCAAACTACTTGGAATTGGGATCCACCATCGGAGTGTATAAGACCCTTGGGCAGGGTGATGTTTCAGAAGAAAAAGTCCTCGGGCTTCACGGAGAGGTCGCCGATTGCCATTAAGTGAACAAGTAAAATCTCCTTTGTAGGCTGCCGTGAAAAAATGTGGTAGCTGATTCATTTCATTTTAATGAGGGGACATTTAAAAATCGGGGGAAGCGAAATGTAAAATGAAATCTCCTTAGTGGCTGTGACATCACAAGCTGAAGGCTTTAAATAAGTAAATTTCGTGGGTTAACATTTTTTAAAACCTTATTCAAATGCGCTGAAATAGAACTAATTACCTGAGATAAAAGACTTAACTCTAATTACATCAGTTTTTGAGCTGTATTTTTGGAAAATACGTGTTTGCGGTAAACCTTGCACTGCTCGGAAGATAGCCAGTGGGCAGGAAAAAACTGACTAAAGAATTGGACTCCAGGTATGGCTTTCTTTATATTAGGTGTGTGAGTTTAGCCACTTGAATCTTTTTCTCATTCCTAAAACAGGTGTATCTACCCCAGTTATCTCACAGGCTGATTGTTAGATTCAACTTGTGGAGGCAAATTTTATGTGCTAGACTTTTAATATAGTTTATTGTAGTAGAGTTTAAGTTTGAAGCAATTCTTACTGTTTGTCATTGTGTTTCTGTGGGGTAATCGGAAAATTAATCCGAAAGGAAATGAAACATTTTTTAAAAGTATTGTCTTTGTATACATACATGCACATATTCATTCAGCAGATGCTTTTTGTGCTTCCTTGTATTAGCTACACTGGTAGGCACTGGGGTACAAGACACAGCCCGTCGGAGCCCTGGGTGTTACACGCAAACAATGAATCGTGGAATACTACATCAGAAACTAATGATGTAATGTATGGTGATTAACATAACAATAAAAATGTTTGGTAGGGAGAAAAAAAAAGACACAGCCCGTCCCTACAACCTTTGAGTTTACTTTCTAGCAAAGGAGATCACTTAGCTAATTACAGTTGTAAGTACTAAAAGAGAGAAGAAGTACAGCTATATATGATACAGAAACCTAACCTTTCTCCAAAGAGATTTCTTGGAGGAAGTAACATTTGAAAAGAGGTCTAAAGAGTGGCGATAAACAGGGGTATATTTGAATGGTAGGGAGCGATAATCAGAACTCTGTGTAAAAAGCAAAAGAAAGCCAAGACTACATACTTAGTTCTTCGCCTGAAGCTGGGTTGAGTCATGGGGCTGTCTTCATGAAGCCTCCTTTTCAAAAAGAAGAGAAAGAGAATGTAAGACCCCTACAAAACAATATGCTACTGGATTCCAATTAAAGCAACTTTATTTAAAACACAATTTAATTGCCATATAAATCACCAATTACTTTGAATTTAGTCTTTTTTGAGCCAAAACATTCATCCTTTAAATTTCAGATAATTTCATACATATTCTTAAAACTTAGAAGCACTATTTACTTTTAGAAACTACATTCTGAGTTCAAAATAGGTGAAGAGAAAAGAATGGCTTTTTCCTTTAGATCATTCAATGCTCAAATTATAACACTTTAGAACAAAAAGAATGTGATCTTGGAATTATTTCCAGTAGCCATATGAGAAGTCGTTGAGACTTGGAGACATGCTAGAAGTTCAGAGGCTTATTAGTATAACCCTACTTTCCAGGTAGGGAAAAGGTCTGTTTCACGGTCTTGTTTGTTTGTTTCAGTCTTAAAACAACAGATTGATTGATAGCAAAATTCTAGAATAAATTATTAAACTGAGAAAATAGTCCATGTAGCAGAAAACAGAAAATGAGCATTAGCAACTCAATCTCAGTATTGAGTTGATTCTCATAGTGAGTAAGGTTATTGTACACCTCTCCTCAAAGGCAGGAAATAGAACCTAGTATCGTAACTAAGTTTTATTATCTGAGGACATTATATTAACATACTGCAGTCTTATGAGCTCTAGAATAATAATTCTATTTCATCTGCACATTCAGGTTTCCATATATTATATGTATGAAAAAAACATAATTATGATGGAATGGAGCTCTTAAAAATAATCTTTATAATGGCTCAGTAGTAACATGAAAAAATACCTTGTGTTAATTAACGTATCTGAATATAAAATACCTACACTGTGATTACAGTTATGTAAAATTTTGTGTTGTTGTGTACAAAGCCTAGAATAGAACATAGGAAAATGCTGAAATGATGGAGTAGTAGATTTTTGTTATAAAGTTTGTGCTATAAATAACAGGCTTTACTTAATTTTTTTTTAGTAAATCATTTTAAAATAATTTCAAACTTGCAAAAATAGGTCAGTAGAGGAGTAAAGAATGGGTTCAAACTTAAAAACAAACAAAAAACCAAAAATAGGTCAAAGAACTCTCATATTCCCCTCTCCCAGATTCACCTAGTGTTAACAGTTAACTTGCATTTGCTCCATCTCTCCCTCTGCATACACACAGACACACGCGTGTGCCCCCCTCCTCCCCTCGATCCAATCTTTAGTCTTTTTCTGGACCAGGCTGCACCTATGATTCCCTATCACTCCTAAATACTCCATTGTGTATTTCCATAAAACAAGTGTTTTCTCTTCCATAACCACTGTGGTGGGTGCACATTTCCTCAACTTTCCCAGTAGTGTCTCTCTTCTTTCTGATCCAGAGTTCCACATAGTTTCTCTTACGTTTACTTATGACTTGTCAGTCTCCTCCTTTGGAAAAATTCCTCACCCTTTCCCTCCCTATCATGGCCTCAGCATTTTAAAAAATGCTGACCTTACCTTCTGTGCTGATCTTCCTTAACCTGGGTCTATCTGACATTTCAACATGAACAGAGCTGTGCCGTGCCTTCTTGGCAGGAATGCCACAGAAATGATCCTGTGCTTGGCTCTGCATCATTTCAGTCACTTGCTGTGGACCCATTTCACCCCCGGTGACATTGACCTCCGTTACCTAATCATGTTGCAGTCTCATAGCTATCTCTGCTGTGAAGTCACAGTGGTTCCCTTTGTATGTATTAGTATTTGGGGGGAAGGTACTCCAGTGTTACTAGTACCCTGTTCCTGCCTGAATCAGCTGCCTCTGAAGGTTGCCAAAGAGCAATTCTCTGTCTCTGTCATTCTACTTTTATTAGTTGACATTCTGTATGGAGCACTTTCCCTTCTCTCCCCATGTATTTGTTTATTTCTTTATTTACACTAACATGGACTCTGGATTATTCATTTTATTAATAAGTCCTATTTTATTATTCTCATTTATTTTGATGTTCGTATTGTCTCAGTTTAGGTGGTATGGGCCCCTTGAGGTGGCTTGATTATCATTTTAATGTGTCCCTGGCATTCTTTGACCTCCTCCTAACCTGGCACAGAAGGTGACCCAGTCTTATCTTTACAATTCATGCTTTAACCTGGAGCTGCCATTTCTCCAAGGGTACCTTGGCTCCTTTTAGCAGAGTATAGTGTTCAGAAACCAAGACTTGGATGCTCATTGTGTTCATTGCTCCTGAGTTTCCATTGCCTCTACACTCTCTCAGCAGACACAGGATGTATCCAAATTTTACATACATACATAAGTACATGTATGTGGGTGGAAAATCTTGGCTATCATTATCTTCAGTGTATTTAGTTATTTGCTCAATGTAACAAATCTTGCAACCATATTAGTCTTTTCCTCCACCTGACATCTAGTGCCCCATATCCGTGGGTACTGGTGGGCATACCATTGATATCCTCTGTACAGCTGCTGATCTCCCCCACCACCCTAACCGCTTCTCCATTGTCCAATGTTCTTGGGGGCCAGTGGGTATGCTGCCAAAGCACATTTGCACTTCATCCACTGGCTTGTTTGCTGTCCTGCTATGAGTCATCACCTACTTTATATTTTATAAAGTATCAAAAATAAACAGGATAGTGAAATATATCAAGTATACAAGAATTTTATTTTGTTGAATTTATTGTGGCCCCATTAGAAAAACAGTATTAGCTAATACTTAAAGATAGCCTTATTATGGCACTTCTGATGGAGTTTATTATAGCTGAATTTAACGGTAGAAAGATCATAGCAAAATTTTATTTTTTTAAGTGTTCTGTTAAGTTTATTTGGGTTAGATAATTTCCCATCTTAGCAGATAGAGGAAAAATTTAGAAGTAGATATGTAAAGAAAAGTTTAATCATTCACTGTTTTTTTAAAAATTGTTGAGACTGGGATGGCTGTCTGGCTCCGTTGGTGGAGCATACGACTCTCCATCTCGGGGTCTTAAGTTCAAGGCCCATGTTGGGCTTAGAGCTTACCTAGGTAGGTAGGTTGGTAGGTAGATAAAATTTAAAATTGTTGAGGCTGGATTGTTTTATGTTTGAGTTTGATAAAATATTTAAATAAGAACTTTGGGGTTAGTCCCCAAAACAGCCTTTGCTTGGACCATGAATAGCTTGTCTACTAGGCAATGATAACTTGGCCTGTTTGCAAATGGAGTAGGGTCTGCATGTGGATTTATATATATGTAAGATAAATCTTTCCATTTTTATGCTTACTTTGTACAGCAAATTTAGAGAACACTTCATTGTTCATGTATTATAAGATTGCTTCTTCCTCCAAACCAGAACTACCATTTAATTTTAATAATTAGTAGTTACAGTTATAAATGCTTCCCATGTGATATATATTAAATACTTTACATATACTATTCTTATAACAATTTCACGAGATATGTATTATTACCTGTATATTACAGATGAGGAAAATATATTAGCAAATTGCTTTTCTGTTCCTTAACCTTTTTAATTAATCTGTGCTGCCTCAAACGTGTTTTTTTCTCAAGTTTATAATTTAATTTATTTCAATATTGACTGTTTAATTTGCTTTGTAGAGATCGAAAATTGTGCAATTTGGGATTAAAAGGCTACTATGTCAAAGGCAATGGCGACAATGCAGGTAATACAGTAGAAAACAATATGGCCCTTTTTGTGCTCAAAGTAATAGTGTATTGATTTTAAATATAATTTGTTATAATACTATATTAATTTGTTGGCATAAAATATAAATGACAACCAGTAATCATCGACAGTCCTTATTTTTTATTATAATGTGGTTCTAGAACCCCTGTCAAAGCAGATCTTTTCTTTTTCTGTAGCTAGCTCCTGTATGGACTTGAGGTAGCCTCTTTTGCTCTATGTAGCATTCCTTCCTGAGCTGTTGCCATTAGATAAGAGCAAGCTAAAATTTGAAGCTTTGAAAAGTAGAGAACATAAGGTTTTTTCAGCAAAATTTTATTGTGTTGGAAGATAAACAGAGGCACATTAAAATTTTCAAGAGTTTATTTGAGCTTATAACTGTGCAACTCGGTCAGTACCAGCTCCCTAGATAGGAGCACCACTCCAGGACAGGAGTTAGGGGAGGGGTTTTTATAGAGAAGATGTAGAAGCAAAGCAAGGAAATTATTGATTGGCTCTGCCTTAAGCAATGACCTCATTTGGGGAAGCCTAGTTAGCTGTTTGTGATTAGTTGATCTTAGCTGTTATTTTCTTAGATTTGAGTGCTTTGATTCTGGCTTAGGTGTTTGGTTTGCTTACATAGACAACGAAGGCCTTCAAGCCACCTCAGTCTAATGACCTCCTTGTTTAGATACTTTAACGGTTGTATAGATAAATTATTCAGGATAAATGCCAAGTGAACATCCATAGTCTTCTGCTTGAAGTAAAGAGGCCACAATCTGGGTTAACTTTCCCAAGTAACAAATAGAATTTGTTATGTATTTTGAGTCTCACCTACTTACCTGAAAACCGTCTTGCTCTCTCTTAGACTTCCCTCAATGACCCCATTTGTTCTTTCCACACAGATCTTGTTTCTCTAAATACAGGGAAAACTAGCGTGAGTTCTAGGCTAAAGTCAGCACAAGTAAAGCGCATCATGTTACCCTTAAAAATCCTTTAACTCTCACAATGATGGAACAAATCACATTTCTTCAGTGGATCACTGAATGAAGTGTTTAGTTTGTATTTCAATGTAATGTACAAATAAGGTTTCTTTAGACACCAGGCTCCTACTGAACATAAAATATGCATACCATGAAAGGAACATAAAAGCACATTTGTTTTTCCTATTTGCTCCCTCCTGAACTTCCATAAGTTCATTGAATGGAATGGTGAGTGGAGTCCCCTTTATTATTTAGGTAGATATCTTTTTCCCAATTTCTTTTAGTAGAATTTATACACAGAAGATTCCTCTTCTTTACAGTCTCCATTTTTACTTTGTAAGATTAACTCTTCTATTGTCTACGATCATTTAGCTGGAGTGTAGCTCAGCCCTAATTGAGTATGCTAATGTATAAAGTGATATTTATCTCACATTTTAAATGGTTAATAGAGCATTTGAATGGCATTTGTCCAATTAATGATGTGATACACTTTTATATAACCATATTAATATAAAGCTAAACTTGTTTTGTTATAATAAAACAGGTTTTCTGGGAGAATCAGGGAGTTTGAAAGGATCTTCCAGTTCAGAGGATTTCAGACTTTTAATAGCTTTCATTAAATCATTTCTCGCTCACAGTCACAGACTATAAATCCCAGTTGTGATTGAAATATCCATGAAGGGCCTAAAGACATACCTTTCACCTCTCTTATTACTAGCTCCTAAAATAAATTCCACAAATCATCATTTTAAATTCACTGATCTATGGGGCACCTGGGTGGCTTAGTCGTTAAGCGACTGCCTTCAGCTTAGATCATGATCCCAGGGTCCTGGGATCAAGCCCCGCATTGGGCTTCCTGCTCCGCGGGAAGCCTGCTTCTCCCTCTCTCACTCCCCCTGCTTGTGTTCCCTCTCTCGCTGTGTCTCTCTCTGTAAAATAAATAAATAAAATCTTTTAAAAATAAATAAATAAATTCACTGATCTAGTTTACTAATACTGCATATAAGGAATGTCAATGTAAGTGTTTTCCCTGTGGTTATTCTGCCATGTTCCCTCTTATATCCTCAGTGCTTTGCACAGTGCACAGCACAGAGGAGATGCTCAGTAAGTGTAAGTTGAATGGGCAGGTGGTAGCAGGCAGAGCCAGACTAGAAGTTGTCTCCTGATTCTTAATTGGCTGTTTTTTACTAGTGTATATTACACCTTAATAATCATAACATTTGCATAACTCTGGGTCTCGGTTCCTCTTTAAAATGAGTATGAGGGGCGCCTGGGTGGCTCAGTTGGTTGAGCATCCAGCTCTTGATTTTGGCTCGGGTCATGATCTCAGGATCCTGGGATTGAGTCCTATGTTGGGCTCTCTGCTCAGAGGGGAGTCTGCCTCTCTCCCTCTTCCTCTGCCCTTCATGTGGGCTTGCGTGTATACGTGCACGCTCTTTCTCTCTCTCTCAAGTAAATAAACCTTTGAAAAAAACCTGCATCTTCATTTTCTCTAAAATGAAGCTAACAAATGCTGTCTGTAGGAGATCAAGCTACAGAAGAGGAGGAAGGCGGCACTGCAGAGTCACATGACAGTAAAGGCTTAGGCCTAGATGAAAGTGAACTTGATTCTGAAGCTGAACTCATGAGAAGTATGGGACTACCACTTCAGTTTGGTGGGATATCTGCACATAAGAATTTTGAGGTAAGTTATTTATATTTCTTTTTCTTAGTTTTCTTCATAAGATACCACAAAGAATTTTTTTTTATATTCAGAAACTAGAGCATTCCATCTCTTTTTAAACATATTTATAAATTAGTTAAAACTGCAAGTTTTAATATACATTCATGTATGATTTTTCCTCCTCCTGGAAACATAAATAGTAAGATTAACTTGTTTGTATAACTAAAAACCCAGGATGGGGGTTTGACGGTATATTATTTGATTTAATGTTTAAAATAGACTTGGATTCTCTTTCTATTACAGTTTATGAGATGCATTTTATATTCAAGTTATTTATCTTATGTAGGTGTCTATGAATACTAGAAATAAAGTTAAAATAAAAAAGAAAAAGAAAAAACATCAAAAAAAGTACTTAGATGAAATTATGAGAGAATCTTGGAGACAAGAATATGAAGAAGATGACATTTTGGCTTCAGATGATCCATCTTCAGTTGAACAGTATAAGAGCACCAAAACATGTAAACTTCAAACCAAAAAAGACATTGAAACTGAAAATGTTCCTGTTGAAAATACATTATCTCCAAAGCTAGAAATCACAGAAAAATGGGAAAAGTATTGGAATGAATATGGTGGAGGACTATTATGGCAAAGCTGGCAAGAAAAACATTCAGATCAGATACTATGTTCTGAACCTTGGAACAGTCCTGATACAAAGGAGGAATGGGAACAACATTATAGTCAACTTTATTGGTATTATTTGGAACAATTTCAGTATTGGGAAGCTCAGGGTTGGACTTTTGAGCCCTCACAAACCTGTGAACCAGATACTTGTGGGTCTAAAATAGAAGTTGACAATGAGAAAGATGAGAATTGCATGATAGCAGACTTAATGTCTTCTCCATCTCCATCTGTTACAATTGATAGTGAAAGCTCTAGTTCAAGTGATAAAGAGCATAATGAAATCCTTGGTGGAATTAGTAATATAAGTTTGAATTCAGAGGAAGTGGAACAGAGCCAGTTAGATTCTTCAGTAAGTTGTGATGGACGTCAGTGGCTAAGTGAAGTCAGCAGCAGCAGAGAATGCCCTGCTTCTGGCCAGAGTGAACCATGTAATGGAGGAACCAAGGACAGCAGCTTGTCTGGGAACAGAAGCACAAACCAACCAGCTCAGGGTAAGATTGGCCAAGTTTTATCCTATTAAATAACAGTTGGGAAGATTAACCCACTGATCAAAATAATTAACACCTATCCTTTATGGTAGAGTTACACAATGCTAACTACATTTTATAGTATCATATGATTTAATCCATATATCACAAGTTGTTTATTACCTTTTCATGTAAATAAAAAGAATATTTGTTAAGGGTTCTCAAAAGTATCATTCCTTCCACTTGTACCTAGGTGGCCAGTGAATTAAAACTTGGAACTCCCTTGAGAAATTTAATAGAGTGTGGAATTTCCAAGTTTCTGTGGAGCAAATGAATTTATAGGAGGCATATTAGAGAATGGTTCAGAGTACACAGTGGACATCAGACAAATCTGATTGTAAGTCATACTGGAATTTATTTCAGAACAAATGAAGTCTTGCTCTGTAGGGAATCTCAACAGGGCATGGTATTAATTTATAACTGGAAGGATTGACTTCAGGATAAGGAACTTGGTTGACTCTAGCCTAAGTGATTTAAAACAAAACAAAACCTATCATGCAAACTGGTGTCTAAAGAACTAAAGAAAGGACTAAAGAAAGCCAGTGGAGAGGTGTTTTAAGAAAAGTCAGAGGTTGGTAAGAATGCTCTTTCTGGGAAGGAGGATTCTAACTGATGGCACCAGGAAAATGAGAGAGGAGAAAATTTTTATAATTTCTGAATTTCCAGAAGGCCACTAAGATGTCTTCTTGGCATCCTTGATGTTTGGTGCTAGAAAAGTCTGGTTTATAATATAGGACTTTCTTCTCAGCCTCATTCCTATATGAAGTAAAAGGTTTTGGCGTTTTATTTAACAATTGGATTTGCTTTGCTCCTCAGATTGCTGATCTTCATCTAGCTGAGAGTTTCCTTTAGAGAGTTACTGAAGGGCTCTACCTATTTTTTAATTTCTTTTATCTCTGTGCTCTTCCGATGGAGCTTGCTTAGGTATTCTCATTCCTTTCTATTTTGGTGTTATTTTCCTATTTTTGTAAATAATGTGATTATTTTACATTGGTCTTTTGATACTCTTCTATACTTTCCTGATTACTTTCTATGCTGATTTTGACCATAAAACCTGAAATATGTATACTGCCCAATGTATTTTCCCTTGTCTTACTCCTTCATGTTATTCCTTTGATCATCCTCCCTTATCTTCCTATTTTTCCCTTTGTCAGACATAGTAAAAACCTCATAGTCTGTGCCATTTGTTGCCTATTTCCTAACTTATATGTATAGATTGTCCATTTCTTTAATTAGTCCCAGGGTGAGTGCCATCAGGATAAATCTGAGAATTCTGGGTTTTAATTTGTTTCAGATCCTGCCTTGAGATCAAAACACAAGGTATAGAGGTGCTTGGGTGGCTCAGTAGGTTGTGTCTGCCTTCGGCTGAGGTCATGATCCCAAGGTGCTAGGATCAAGTCCCAAATTGGGCTCCCTCCTCAGCGGGAAGTCTGCTTCTCCCTCTCCCCCTCCCCCCACTCATGCTCTCTCAGTCTCTCTTGCTCTCAAATAAATAAATAAAATCTTTTAACACACACACAGGTATATATTGCATTTCTTTGTAAGTATGTTTTCTTCTGTTTGTGGTTGGGTGTTCTCCTGAAGTAGTCTGCGTCCACACAATCAAAGCCTCTCACTGTCTACACTGCAGACAGTTCTCCCATTTCCAGTCCCACCCACTCACCTTGTGCCAGTCTGAAGAAAGACAGGTGCCTCAGTTGGAGCTACCACAAGTTAAAAATATTCTTTCTAAATGGTGGAGCTTACCTTGCTATTACTTTTAATTTAAGAGCTATATTAGAGATAACTAAATATATTTACTTCTTAATAAGGAGAAATCATTTTTAATCAATGCATTATGCTGTCTTCAGAGTGATTTAAGTTAAAATTCCATCAAAATGTGGGGTGCGTGAGTGGCTCACTCGGTTAAGCGTGAGACTCTTGATTTCGGCTCAGATCATGATCTCAGGGTCATGAGATAGAGCCCCATGACAGACTGTATGCTCAGCAGAGTCTGCTTGAGATTCTTTCTCTCCCTCAAATTAATTAATTAAATTTCCATCAAAATGTGATAACTGTTCAGCTATCACAAAGGTAACTGTGGATTACTTTGTGTAGATTTGGACAGCTATGAGGAAAAAGTAGTTTTAGTTTGCTTTTTAAGTAGTTAAACTTAAAACTTTTAAGTAGTTAAACTTTAAACTTTTAAACTTTGATAGACATAGCTATAGGTTTTTTATGCTCAGACTCTGAGTGTAGATACACAAAATAGGTAGATGTGGTCTGTTACTGTGCCTGATGTGCATGTACAGTTCATTGCAGGAAAGTAACAAAAATATTTTGGGGCGCCTGGGTGGCTCGGTCGGTTAAGCGGCTGCCTTCGGCTCAGGTCATGATCCCAGGGTCCTGGGATCGAGCCCCACATCAGGCTCCCTGCTCCGCGGGGAGCCTGCTTCTCCCTCTCCCACTCCCCCTGCTTGTGTTCCCTTTCTCGCTGTCTCTCTCTGTCAAAATAAATAAATAAAATCTTTAAAAATATATATATATATATTTTGATGGCCTTTACAAAAGGCAGAAGAGTTGTTAAGCTAAAGGGGAAATCCACTGCAATATCTCTGCCTCTTTAGATTCACAGGACTCTTCAGAAGCAAATACAATCAAAGAAAGACCACATCCCAACAGTATTGATGGAGATGAGAGTGAAGAAGATCCACCTGAACGTAAGCCAAGCAAACTCAAGAGGAGGCAAGTTGCATATTACCTCTCTCCACGATGTGGTAGCATAAACATTTGTGTCCGTGAGGGAGTGGCTTTAAATGCTTGTTATATTGCAGTACTGTTAATCCTGTGAGGAGAAAAGACAAGACATGCTAGCAAGACGCTGCATCTTTGAACACCCAGCAAATCCCAGCTCTTACTCTGCCACAGTTTCTTGTTTCTAAAATGGAACTGCTGCTTTTTTTATGAGCTCATTGGGAAGACAAAAACTAGCATGTAATATATCTGACAGTAGCTATCAATGGATGACAGCTTTTAACTAATAGATAAGTTGATATGGTTTCTCTCAAGGAAGTTCTATTAAGTGCTATGCCCAGAGTTACGCAGCAAAACAATGGCAGCTCCAAGTCTAACACCCAGACCAACTCTTCTGGAAGCAGTGCTAGTATACTGTTGATAGTAAAATTAAACAAGTAGCAAGTAATAAAGGTAGGATATGGTTAAATGCTAATTCCGTAAAATACAAGAAAAGGATGGACATTGCAGAACTCAGATGTTAGCTAGTAACATTTTATTTCTTTGACAGGATATGAAGTGTTCCACATAAGACTTTTATGTTCCACACAGCTTCTAAAAAAACAATATATAAGCTTTGGAGGCTCAGTAACTTAGTATATACATAAAAGCATGCCTCCATTGGGTTCTTTCTACCTGGTATACAGTGCTGGTTGATTCCTCCTTTAGTTCCTGGAGGCAGAGACTAGGTTACATTTCTGGAACCTAGTAAGTCCACCGTAAATGTTCAGTGACCTTAACTTAATTTGTAAGAATTATTTCTCACCTTTTTCTCTTACTTGGTACTGTCACCAGGTAGTAGGGATCACTAGAAGGCATCCCTAATAGATCGATGATCATGGGTTACTTATTATCACTTGTATCACAACCTTATTCTTCTTGATATATATATTTTTTTGTAATTTTTTTGGTTGCTTTGATACTTCTCAAATGCTTCTGTCTTCATTTTTAAGGAAAACTAAAAATATCACTCTAGGAGATTAGTTTAAGGCTGCAGTTTTTACAGGTGTTTTTCCAAAGGCAAATGGAGGGGTCTGTATTAGTGCCATGTTCAAGAACAGAGATAATTGGGATTTGAGTACTTATTGCTGTGTTCCAGACACTGCTGGGTACTTTATCATATTTGGAAAATCTGATTAAACTACTCTTTCCTGTCTTCCTGGATTTGGGAGCTGTGGTTGACTGTTGCAGTAGGAAAGTGTGTGTAGGTTGACTATATGTATCTTTTGATATTTGCCTGCACTGGTGGGCTCTGGCTTATCGCTGTTTACCTCTTGTTTATTTGTTTAGCCACGAACTGGACATTGATGAAAACCCAGATTCAGACTTTGATGACAGTGGTTCCCTTCTAGGATTCAAGCATGGCTCAGGACAAAAGTAATTATATATAAATATAACAGAAATACTGTTGTCTTCCTGAAATCGTTAACACTTCAGATATCTTCAAGTTCTCTGATATTCAAATAGCTAATGATGGTTATAGATTTGATAGAATTTGAGATATTACAGTTAAAACACTAATCTCTCATAGAAAGATTACTGCACATTTGATATATTGATGTGTTGTTAACTCAGTTGTACTTCATAGTAATCTAATATCATTATTACAATTTCATGGATAAAGCAGCTGCAGCCCACAGAAGTATGACTTGGTCAGGATCACATCGAGGATTCAGGCCAAGCTCTTTTCTAAGCATGGTTCCCTTTTTCACCTTGCATCTCACATGTCTACCTTTGTATACATCTGATATGTAAAGGGAGCATGTCATGAAAAGTTCAAATCTGCAGGAGCCTTTTTTCTTTTTTATTATGAAAACATTAAAACTCAAAACAGAAGTAATAAAGCGTTACTTAGCCTCAGGCTAAGTAGGATCCTGGAAGTCAATTTCTGGTCCAGCATTTATTGTGAGCTTTAATTTTGAGGTCATCTAGAGGTGATCAAACGTTGCACTAACCAGTTCATCCTAATAGTCTCATGCTAATTTAGTGGTTTACACTGCTAACTGGAATATTCATGTCCCCTCTCTTGGACTCTGCTATACCTGCTGTCCAAGCACCTGAAAAACAAAGATAATTAGAAGTATTTTTGTTTGGTTTGATGAGTGATGCTTATCCATTATAGGAGAAAAAAACCAAACACCTTCTAGTCTTTTAAATCATTCCTCAGAGGTAGACAGTGTTTGGCATATGTCCTTCCTAATTTACTCATGTGTTTTTGTGCTTATGTACATATAAACAGGTTACTCCCTTTTTTATAAAACACAAAAATAGAATCATATTATACATGTTCTGCAGCTTGCTTTTTTTTTCCCTCAACAATGTACCATGAACATCCTGACTTATCAGTACATGCACATTTATCTAGTCCTTGTGTGTTTAATTGACCACCCTGTATGTACTTCTAGGTTGTTCCTAAGATCTAGGCATATGCCCTTGAGGTTCCCCACAAGGTTTTGCATTTACCAATAGTTCATTCCTACTTACTGCTGAATAGTGTTCACTGTATGGATATATCACAGTTTTAACCATTCATCTGTGCAATAGGACATTTGGATTGTGTGTGATATTTTGCTATTACAAATAAAACTGCTATGAACATTTGTATATAGAAAGTATAAGTTTTCTCTGGGATTAAATGCCCAAGCATTTAAATCTGAGATTTATAGGAAATCTGAAACTGAAGAAAATATAAGAAAACTAAATTATATATAAGAAAACTGAAGGGTCTATTGCATATAGCATGAAGACTGAACTGAGTAGTTAAGGCACACTAAAGTCTTACCATTTATGTCAGCTTGCACCAGTGATTTAAACCAAGATTAAGGTCTTTGATGTTTCTAAGGCGTGAGACTTATTTTGTTAGTTGTGAAATTTTAACTGATACCTATGTATCATGAAGTCAGCAAGAAAAGGGCATAGATCTCAAAATTGACTTATAAATTGAATCCAAATTAGTTCAGAAATACATGCTCATAATTATAATACTATGAATATATTTTAAACTATCAGTTATCTCTTCCTTATGGTACTTGAAGGCAGTTGCAGCTCAGATAAGCATTTAAAACTAAAGATCCTAAAGATAAGTAATATAAAATATTTTCCCAATATTGCCATGTTTAAATTTCTGGCAGAATTTATTTCTACCCACATATAATTTTATTGAGAAATTACTTGGGTGGCTCTTGCTAGTATACATTTGTGGAGATTTATTCTGTTACCTGGGATTTAATTTTTCTTCTATTTAGGATTCCCAATTCTACTTAAAAAGGATAAAATTGGGGCGCTTGGGTGGCAAAGTCGATTGAAGGTCCAACTCTTGGTTTCAGCTCAAGTCATGATCTCAGGGTCGTGGGGCAGGGCTCCATGTTCAGCACGGAGCCTGCTAAAGTCTCTCCCTCTCCCTCTGCCCCTTCCCACTGTGTGAGCGTGCTCTGTCTATAAAATAAATAAATCTTTTAAAAAAAAAAGAAAAGCATAAAATTGACTTTTTATAAAGGTTTATAATATGGCTAGAAGATAACACCTGACATTTAACACTCAACTGTTCAGGAGTTTATAAGTGCTAAATTGTATATTACACTTTAAGTTTCTAATAATCTGTGGGACTGTGGAAGAGGTACTTAAATGAGGCTTGATAACGGTCAAAGAAGTCTTTGTAGCACATCTATATGATTTAGGACTAGAAAAATTCAGATGGCTAGATCAGCAGATATTCTCTAATTATTTTGATAATAGGGGTTTAAGCTCAGATTAACTTAGGTTAAAAAAATAGTGACCACTTTTAAAATAATTCATATCAACAATAGCCAAACTATGGAGAGAGCCCAAATGTCCATCGACTGATGAATGGATAAAGAAGATGTGGTACATATATACAATGGGATATTACTCAGTCATCCAAAAGAATGAAATCTTGCCATTTGCCATGACGTGAATGGAGCTAAGAGTGTATTATGCTAAGCAAAATAAGTCAGTCAGAGGAAGACAAATACCATATGACTTCACTCATACGTGGAATTTAAGAAACAAAACAGATGGACATATGGGAAGATGAAGAATAAAAAAGAGAGAAACAAACCATAAGAGACTCTTAATGATAGAGAACAAACTGAGGGTTGATGGAGAGAGGTGGGTGGGGAATGGACTAGATGGGTGACAGATATTAAGGAGGGCATCTGTGATGAGCACTGGGGGTTATATGTAAGTGATGAATCACTGAATTCTACTCCTGAAACCAATATTGCACTGTATGTTAACTAACTAGAATTTAAATAAAAATTTAAAAGATAAAATAAATAAAATAATTCAAATGTACCCAAATATGTATTAAAGCACTTTGGTATCATCTCACCATGAGAAAAGATTATATTTCCCTAACGTGCAGTGGGGTTATATTTTTCTGCTATTTCTTTATTACATTTTAACATCTGCTTTCTGTTACATATAAGGTATGTTGATATCCCCAACTGGTGTTTCACATTTACTTGGAAATTAGCATATAACCAAGACCTTAAACTCCTCTACATTCAAACTTTATTTCATAATTGTTATAATTTAGAAAAATAAAATTAAAATGGTGGCTGCTAGTAGAAAAACAGTGAAAATTGTCAGTTTTATTCTCTTTTCATATAAGAAAACTCATAGAACTTAAGGTTTGAGTCAACTTCCTTTGGTTTGGTCACAGATACGGAGGAATTTCAAATTTCAGTCATCGGCAGGTCAGATACCTACAGAAGAATGTGAAGTATAAGTCAAAGTTCCTGGACATGAGAAGACAAATAAGTATGAAAAACAAACACATTTTCTTTACTGAAGAATCAGAAAAAACGTTCAAAAAAAGCAAAACTTTGACTAAGGTATGTATAAATTTTGTTCTTTATTTATAGATAAAATTTCATTTTGTAAGCTTGACTCCCTAAAATTTTTTTCAAGTGGAAATCCTGTTTCTACCAGATATAAGGGTACCTAAAATTGTCTTCCCCTTGCTTCCTAAAGGCATATATCATGTGAACAAAATTTGAAATAGAGTAAGTTGGTAGTAATACGAAAAGGGGATGTTTTGAAAGCTAGTATCAGTGTCTGGGAAGATAAATGGATAAAATTGCTTCGTATACATAGTAACAGAATTTCTCATCTGCTTCAGGCTAAGTAGGATCCTGGAAGTCAATTTCTGGTCCAGCATTTATTGTAAGCTTTAATTTTGAGGTCATCTAGAGGTGATCAATCAAACGTTGCACTAACCAGTTCATCCTAATAGTCTCATGCTAATTTAGTGATTTACACTGCTAACTGGAATATTCATGTCCCCTCTCTTGGACTCTGCTATACCTGCTGTCCAAGCACCTGAAAAACAAAGGTAATTAGAAGTATTTTTGCTTGATTTGATGAGTGATGCTTATCCATTACAGGAGAAAAAAACAAAAACACCTTCTAGTGAGCAAAACCTTTGTATCAATTACCTCTCCAGCAGCTCCTTCAGTCAACAAAACAAAATCTCAGACCCTGTGATGACTTTGTTTTACCCTTAGGATACATTATCCTTCCCAACTTCAGCATTCTTCCAAAACATGCTACAGATTTATAGCTGGCTTTATTTTTGTTATATTTCGGATGGGTTGGCTGCTGGTGATATTTTAATATTTTAGTGGCCCTGGTTATATCTGGAACACATTTCCCAATATCAGACCAATCAGTCTTATAGAACTTTTTACATGTTGGATGTGATAGTCCCCATACATCCATCTGTAGACAAATAGCAGAAACATAACTGCTAAGTATTGCCAAGGAGAAAAGAAATATGGCTGTTGTATCATTAGATATCCGACTGATGTATAGGTACAGTCCCTTTGAAGATTCTGGGTTGTTGTCTATGCTCATCTTCGAATTTCCTAACTCATAGAAAGGTCACGAAGATCTGTTATGAAGAATATTCTTGTTACAGAAGTTTGCAAGGAAGTACATATTATCTGTTAACACCTTGTTAACGTTTCTAAGAAATCCAGTTTTTAGGAATCATTTTACTGGCCTACTGCCCCATTAAAGGGTAGCTTGCATTCTAAGATAGCACTCTTTTTCTTACAGATAGATGGGCACTAGATCTTTTTAGAGTTTATCTTTGATGCTGAGTACAGTTAAACATAGCCTGGGCCATTGAAGAAAGGTCTGTATAATTTGAAAAGCTAATAATAATGACTCAACAATTAGTAGGTACATTTGTAATGGTAATATCACATTGTATGGTTATATTGTTAGAAGCCTTTTATGGAAAGCTACTGGGACAGTTCAGCTTTATCCTCTTAGTGTTAATTGATTATAGGAAGTTCATTGTCATGTGTTTAATCTGATACTTTCTTCCTTTTAAAGAAATTTTTAATAAGATCATGATATGTCCAGATACGAAAGTGTAGTTAGAATTACTTACGTATAATTAGCTTGTATGATGCAGTGTACTTATTAGAGCTAATAATTACAACAGCTTCTCAGTGAAGTCCAAATGGTAAAACAGGTGGGAATATTCTATGTAATTTGGAATTCATTCATGCTTGTGACGACTTAAAATTTCAGGTAGAAAAATTCCTAAAATGGATTAATGAACCAATGGCGGAGGAAGCACAACAGGAGTCAGTTTCTCATGACAATGTGCAAGACACCTGCACAAGCAGTGATTCAGAGGAACAAGAAATGTCTGTTAAAAAAGGTGATGACCCACTGGAGACAAGTAATCCAGAGCCTGAAAAGTGTCATGCTATGTCTTCAGCTGATGAACTTGAAACAAAAAAAAATGAAGGAGACAGCACAGTAGTAGCTATTACAGATAAGGAAGATGGTGTTACTCAGATTACACCAGATTCTCTTCAGGTAGAAACTGAAGGTAAGACTAAGTATGCTTCAACTTGCTAATGAGTTTAGATAATGTGCTTCCCTAGTTTTCACTTATGAATCATCTATACCTAAGGATTCACTGCTGTTTATTTTTCAGTAGAGAGAAGGCACAGCAAGTGTAAATATGCTAGTGGTTATGTTTTGACACCAGAACACTACATTCTTGGCTGAGCAAGCATGACAAAACAAAAGGCCAAACACATGGGAAAACTGAGTACCTCTGTCTATGCCATTAAGTATTGGTCTCTGCCACTACCCTCTTCCCTGGGCTAAAAGTGACTGGCGGTCCCTTTTAACCCTCTTGAAATTTGGCATTGCCCTGGTTTTCCTTTTGATAATTCTTTTTTTTTTTCCCTTTGGCTTTTGTGGTATGGTTGTTGGTAGTGGTAGTTATTGTTTGGATGGTACACTGACATAAGGTATTTATAGTAGTTGCCTGTAATGAATGGAGAACAGAGTCACATTTCAACTTTATGCCCTTTTTGCACTGTTTGAATGTATTCTACAGTAAATGTTCTGTTATAATTGTACTCAGTGGAACATTGAGGCTTTTATGGGTTAGAAATTTTCATTTGATATGTATTCATTTTTATTGATGAATGATTTCAGACTTGCCCTAATGAAACAATTATATTGTGATGGTCTCTTTTCTTAATTTAGTATTGAGGAAAATACCTCATTTGAGTCTTAATTTTTTTTTCTGTGTGTGTGTATATGTGTGTGTGTGTAGAGCTGTGTTCTGTGTATCATATACTTCTTTGCCTTTCTAAAAAGCATACTTAAGGTAGTTTTAAATTTTTTTATTGTCATGTACAACTGATATTCATGGGGTACTTGCAGATTTCTAAAATGCCTTCATGTGCCTTATTTTCATTTAATCTATAAAATAACCCAGTGAGGTAGGCGGGATTATCCTCATTCTAAAAATACAGAAAGTAAAGCTCAGAGAAACTAAGAAATTTGCCTGAGATCACAGAGCCAGTAGGTGGCATAGCTAGGACTCAATACCAGGTTGTCTGATTCCTCAGTCCCATTTTCCCACCCTCTCCTACTTCCCTAATTACCTTGCCTCATAGTGCTGGTAGTTCTCAGCTGGGGTGATACCACCACTTCAGGGGCATTTGGAAGATGTTGGCTGTTAGAATGACCTGGGGGTGCTGGCATTTAGTACTTTGGGTTGCTTAACATTATGTCGTGTACATGATGGTCTTGGACAGTAAGGAACTGTTCACTCAAAATGTTAGTGTCCCCTCTCCTAAAAAACTCTTAGTACATTTTGCTGTTGATGACACCTTGTGCTCTTTGCAATGATCAGATGACCATATTAAGACATAGTCCTATCCTTGAGGATCATTTAAATGTAGTAGTTTTATTTGCCAACACCAATTCTTGTCATTATACTTAGCTGTGACAGCATTCTTTCTAAGTTGTTTCTAATCTGCTCAGAACTTAAACCAAATAACCAAATTAATAAAAATTGTTTAAGAAAAAGTCAATCTCTGAATGAATGAGATCCTTTTCTGTTAACATTAAAGCAGTGACCTGTTTTAATTTCCTGGAGGCCATACGACCTTCAGGTCACATCTGGATTTAGAGGATTGACCACGCTGAAAGTTAGGGGTTTAATCAGTCCTTGGAAGATTTTGTTTTAAAGAAGGAAAGAGAAATGTTTGGATTTCTATAATTGACCAACTAAAGCAGTGTCTTTTCTAACAGAAGTAATAACTTTCATACTTACATAGTATCTCTACATATGTCCTAATAATCATGTGAAGTAAGTAGGTGAAATATTATTCATTCATTCGTTTTGAAGAATTAAAAATTGGATCTTAGAGAGCCTGGATTACTGTCCAAGCTCAGGGAACTTATAAATAGCAAAATAGAGGCTGTAATCTAAAGTCAGTGCTGTTTGCAGTATGCCCTCCCGCTTCTCCTGGGGTGCCGTTGCCTGCATGGTCTGCAGTACATTCCCAAACTGTAAATACTGAATGTGGCTGCACTCTTCAGATGAATTCATCTATGATTGCCTTTTTTCATAGTGAGCATCTGTATTTATATTCTTTTATTTTAGCAGAAAGTAAAAAGAAGAAGAAGAAGAAAAAAAACAAGAACAAAAAGGTAATTGGTCTGCCTCCTGAGATAGCTGCTGTTCCTGAGCTGGCAAAATACTGGGCCCAGAGATACAGGCTCTTCTCCCGTTTTGATGATGGGATTAAATTGGACAGAGGTAAAAATTATATATAATGTTTAACACTATTTTGAAATAATTTCAGACTTACAGAAAAGTGGCAGGAATAGTAATAATTTTTCATAATGCCCTTTACCCAGATTCGGCTATTTTTAACATTTTGCCACATTTGCTTTATCATTCTGTGTGTGTTTCTGACCGAGTTGCTCCTATCCCTTGATACTTGTGTGTGTATTTTCTAAGAACAAGGATACCTTATGTAGCAATGGTAAAATTATAAATTTAACATTGCTACAGTATTATCATCTGTAGTCCAGACTCTAGTTTAATCTGTTACCCTAATCATGTCTTTTATGGTATTTGTTTTTACTTCCAGTATAGGATCGTGTATTGCATTTAGTTTTCATGTTTCTTTAGTTTCCTTTCATCTGGAATAGTTCCTCAGCCTTTTTGTCTTTCATGACTTTGACATTTTCCAAAGAAAAGTGGCCAGTTATTTTCAACAGTATCTCTCAATTTGGATATATGTGTTTTTAAAACTTCACATTCAGGTTTAATCTATTCTTAATCTATATTTTAGGATAGATAGCAAAAGGAATCAATAGATTATTAAGCAGAACATCTGATGATGAAATACCTAGTGCAGAAAGACACTAATGAATTAACACTGGAAACCAAGTTCTTCTGTGAGTGTTCCTGCTATGTCTTGAACACCTTCCTTAATTCAATTCTACAAATTGATGCTTAGTTTCATATTGGGGCTACTTAAACAGTGGTCTTTATTAACTGTCAAAATTAGGAGGCTTGATCTGGGGTTAGAATTTTGGGTTCTGTGACCTCTTATAATTATTTACAAAATGTTGTGTATTGAAGAAAGTGCATAGGAGTTTGGAGAAATAAGACTGGATAAAAGCTGTTTAATTCTATAAAAGAAGTGTATATTTTTATTCTTCCAGCAATAAGGAGCCATTTAAAGTTTTGGTAAGGAAAGGGAACAGGAAAATTGGTGTATCATTTTGATCAGAGAAATATCTTTCTGAAAAAAATGTTAATCCTATTGGGAAAGGAGGTCAATTTGCTTACCCGTTAGAAATGAAATAATGAGGGGGCGCCTGGGTGGCTCAGATGATTAACCGTCTGCCTTCGGCTCAGGTCATGATCCCAGGGTTCTGGGATCGAGTCGCACATCGGGCTCCCGGCTCAGCGGGGAGCCTGCTTCTCCCTCTGACCCTCTCCCCTCTCATGCTGTTTCTCTCTCGCTCGCTATCTAAAAAATAAATAAATAAAATCTTTAAAAAAAAAATGAAATGAAATAATGAGGAAACTCAGTGGAGTTTGGGGAGTTGGCCAGTTGGATAGCTAACTTTCCATTTTCCATAATAGTCAGTAGTTAATACTTCAAACAGAAAAACTAAAATTACATTAAGTTATTGGAAGTATATTACAAGAGAATCAGGCAAGAACTGAGGCGGTTGCTTTGGTGGAAATTGGGAATGGAAATGGTACTGCTCCTTTGTATAATGAGCTTTGTGGAACTTTTTAAAAACTAAGTAATTTATAATTTTTGAAAAAGAGAGGGGCACCTGGGTGGCTCAGTCGTTAAGCGTCTGCCTTCAGCTCAGGTCATGGTCCCAGGGTCCTGGGATCGAGCCCCACATTGGGCTCCCTGCTCAGCGGGAAGCCTGCTTCTCCCTCTCCCACTCCCCCTGCTTGTGTTTTCTCTCTTGCTGTGTCTCTCTCTGTCAAATAAATAAAATCTTTTTAAAAAAAGAAAAAAAGAGAAACTAAGTTTTGGTTAAGTATATATAATATATAGTAATGTTAGCTATGTTTATGCTTGGGTTGGCTTCTTGAAACTGAATATCTTAACAGAAATACTCTTCTTCCCTTCACAGAGGGCTGGTTTTCAGTTACTCCTGAGAAGATTGCTGAACACATTGCTGGCCGGGTGAGCCAGTCCTTCAAGTGTGACATTGTAGTAGATGCATTTTGTGGAGTTGGAGGAAATACTATTCAGTTTGCCTTAACAGGAAAGAGAGGTAATTAGCCATCAAAGGAAGCAAAGTAATTTCTTTTTAATTTATTCAGTAAATGTTTCATTTTGCTTTAGCCTATCTTTGCTGAGATTTAATATATAATTAGTAATTTAATGCCAAATTTTTAAAATAATAATAGCTAGCATATAGTAAGCATACGCTTTGTATCACACACTGGTATAAGTGCTTAATATGTATTAATTTATTAGTCAGTGATCTTGTGAGGTGTATCTTTTACTGTCTGCGTTTCATAGATAAACTGGGAAATAAAGAGATGAAATAACTTGCCCAAGATTACACGGACACAGTTTGGTGAAGCCAAGATTATAACATTATATAAAACTAAAAATTTTAAAATGGGAAACCATTCTTTAGAAGAAGAATGGACAGGGAGTTCCAGCTTTGCCACCTTTATGACTTTGGACATCATTTAACCTCAATTTAAAGGAGACTTTAAATTGGTAACCTCTGTAATACCTTTCAGCTGTGCATTGTAAAACTCTAGAAATCTTCTAAGTATTAGATCATTCTTGTGGTTGTTTGACTTTGGAATCATGAAAAAGAAACCTTCTGTCACTATTTATGTGCCAGGAACTATGTCAAGCAGGTTGTATGTGTGCTATTTCCTAAGGAAAAGAAAACTATAAAATTGGATGATCTGCCCAAATGGGCATAGCTGAGTCATGAAGCCAGGATTTTTACTCCGTTTTTTCTGATATCCCTGTTCTTTTTAAATTCTTTTAAAAGTGTAGTATATGTGATTTTTCAAAGATATCAATTGTTAAGTCATACTCTGAAGATGCTTTTTTTCCCCAACATCTTTGTATTATACAAATAGCTTCCATTTCAGTGAATTACAGTTAAGTCTCATTAATTTATATAAAGTTTTTAATATTAACTAGGAAAGTATGATTCTGGAAGCATAATATAGAAGCTAGAAAATGGTGAAGGAAAACTTAACATTGAAGACCCAGACCCATGTTGATGAACTGTATGTAACCCCTATTAAATCATGCCCTAGGGCATGACGCTTCTCACCTTATATGGTCTCCTAATAGCCTGAATGAAAGTTGTCTTCACATAACTGGAATAGGACTTATTTTCCTGTTTTCCGTAAATTCATTATTTACTCTCAAAGCTCTCTGCGCTTGCCAGATTATCCAGTCCTGTGAGCTCAAATCAGTGTTTATTGCATGAAAATGATTTTTTCCTCAAAATTTTTCAAATTTGTCTTCATTTTGACATTGTATCGTAACATGACAATTAAAATATCTGCCCTATGATACAGTAGCAAATAGATTTGGAAATTTTTTCAAAATATTATGGAAACCATCCATATTGTAGATTTATATTTCTATGAATATAGGTCTCTTGCCAAGGCTTTCTGTAGCTTAGTACACATTTGGTAAAGAAAAATATCTAATGTGGGTCCAAAGCTAAAGGAAGGCTACTTCTGTCATGTTCTCCCAGACCCAATTGTTGTCTAGGCATATGCTCAACTGAATGGTTAGAGAATCCACAAAGTTTTGCACTTCGATGTTAAAGATTTTTTTCCCTTTCTGTGTACTTCAGTGTTACTGCTATCCAGTAGAATTTTCTGTGATGATGGAAATGTTGTGTATCTGCACTGTCCAGTATGATAGCCACTAGCCACATGTGGCTTTTGGGCATTTGAAATTTGGCAGTGTGGGGGTGTCTGGGTAGCTCAGTGGGTTAAGCAGCCAACTCTTGATTTCAGCTCAGGCCATGATCTCGGGGTCCTGGGATAGAGCCCTGTGTCAGGCTCCACGCTCAGTGGAGAATCTGCTTGAGAATTCTCTTTCCCTCTCCCTCTCCCCCTCCCCCGGCTCATGGGTACAGACGCATACTCTCTCTCAAATTAATAAATAAGTCTTTAAAAAATGTGGCAGTGCGACTGAGGATCTAAATTCTTTATTTCATTTTAATCAGTTTAAAGATAATAACCACGTATGGCTAGTGGCTACCATTACTGGACAGTGCAGTTCTGTATAATGTCATCCAGCATTTGCCAGCATTTCATTTACATGATAGACTGAGTGTTTACATTCTGTTAGGCCTAAAAACAAAGCAGCCTGTAAGAGAAATAAAGATGAAAACAGGAGGATTGACTGAATATATTTGATGTTGAAAATCATTTTCCTATTGAGTTTCTAGTGTTGTCAGCATATCTTTCCATCTGTCTCTGTACTACAAATGGAGCAGATTGAATAGCTAAAAAGGACATTTTCATCTTTTCTCTTACGAATGTTAGTTTACTTAGAACAGAAAAAATAGCATTGTAAACGCATGATTTCAACATGTAATTGGAGCGTATATTCATTGTTCAAGTGATTTATTTAGTGCATTATTTCTCAAAAGTTAACAAATTTTAAAAAACGTCATTTTCTAGAAAACAACTATGTTTCCATGACAACCATGGTGTATGCATCAGGGTTCCATTTAGCCCTTCCAAATATAAAATATTGCCACCAGCACACTGGTGCACATACAGGTGCATTTGAGTTATTGAGTGCCAGATAGGAGTGAGCTAAAATTAACTTATGTTTGCATTGCTAATTATGAAATTGCAATAAATTAAATGAAAACCCATTCGATGAAAACATAACGTTGTCGGTTCCCTCTTCCTAAGATGTCTCATTAAACATTATCGGCAGATGTTTTTACATTTCTTCTTCATAAGCTGGCTATATGGGTTTGTCAAAATGTGTTTTAATTTGCTTTTCTGTAGAAGTTGTCAAATTTGTCTTTCTTTGGAGGCTGCATCTCATTTTAGGAAATCGGTCGTTTCTGAAATCCTAGTGTTACAGGCTTGACATGTAGTCAGTGACCTTTCCAAGTGTTTGCTGCTCAGGCTGTTCAGAGCAAGTGCTGAGCATGTGTTCAACTCTCAGTAGATACTATGTGGCAACTGTCACTACTTACTCTGGAAAAGCTGAGTGACACAGCTTTGAAAGCCAGGTCCTTCAGTCACATTTTCTTGGTACTACACAAGTGAATCTTTCTAATTTAGATTAAAATTTTTAGTTAAGGTCTTTATCTCTGGTATATGTGCCAAACTTCCTTAGTCTTTAAGTTCTTATACCGGGGCGCCTGGGTGGCTCAGTTGTTAAGCGTCTGCCTTTGGCTCAGGTCATGATCCAGGGTCCTGGGATCGAGCCCCGCATCGCTTCTCCCTCTCCCACTCCCCCTGCTTGTGTTCCCTCTCCCACTCCCCCTGCTTGTGTTCCCTCTCTTGCTGTGTCTCTCTCTGTCAAATAAATAAAATCTTTAAGAAAAAAAAAGTTCTTAGACCGAGAAAAAAATCAGATTGCTCAGAAGATGAACTGTTCTATAGGTCAGTGTCATTGACTCTTCTTTTCCCACTTTTAGTGATTGCCATTGATATTGATCCTGTGAAGATTGATCTTGCTCGCAATAATGCAGAAGTTTATGGAGTAGCAGACAAGATAGAATTCATCTGTGGAGATTTCCTCCTGCTGGCTTCACATTTAAAGGCTGATGTTGTGTTTCTTAGCCCCCCTTGGGGAGGACCAGACTATGCTACTGCGGAGACCTTTGACATCAGGACCATGATGTCTCCTGATGGATATCCTTTGGAAGGCTGAGAGTTTACTCGAACAGTGGTTATGGAGAGAAAGGTGTGCATGTGAGTGACTGTGTGTGTTGTGTGTGTGTGTTTCATAGAGGGATTAGTGAAGTGGGATTCCAGTTTATTTTACATAAAAAGCCAGTATGTAAAAATTAAGTAGTAGTTGATTTCCAAGAGGAATGGCAGATGTGAAGTCATATTTCCTTCGGGTACTGTCCAATTTTATCATTAGAAAACAAGAATTAGGAAATATTAATTGCTTGAAATTATTGTCTTGGAAATTGGGAGTTTCCTCAAGACCTGTCCGTAGACTCTAGGTGACCATCCCTTAACTTTTCTTCAGCTTACACTGGCTTGTGCTAATTCTCTTTGCATCTTCAAATGTTTCCTGTCACTCTTCCAAGATACTGAAGCTAACCCTTCTTTCATAAAGAATAGTTTTTATTATTTGTCCCTTTCTTTATCTCTCCTCCCCAGAGGAATCATCTGTTTGACTCTAACAGGAAGCATGTTTCTAAATTGCTAATTAAAATTTAGAATGTAATCCACAACGACCAGATTTACTTGTCTTTATTCTTTACTGGAAAGAGGTAGTATTATGCTTTCCTGTTCTATTTTCATAATTAGGAAATGGCAGAAAGAGAAAGTGTATTTCTGACTCTTGGCTGCTTTCCACAAGGATAAACGAATGAATAGGCTTAACTTCCAATCTCTGACCCATCTGAATTACAAAATCTGCTACTTAATTCTCTTTTAGGTTCCATTAGAGGATCTAAATGTGTGTCTCTTAGTTACATATCAAAATACATTTGGGTTATGACATAAGAACCTATCTCTGATCAGAAATTAACTGCTGTTTTTGTTATCGTTCCTTAACTGTTGTCCACCTTTGAAATCTTCAGGCTTTCCCGGAAGATCACTAATAATATTGTTTATTTTCTTCCAAGAAATGCTGATATTGACCAGGTAAGCCACTAGTAAAGAACTTCTATGAGCCTCCGGCATAACTTAAAAAAATGCGCAGAAAAAAGATACAAGGCCTTCCTTTGAGAACGTATTTATGAGAAGTCTCTGGCTTTTTGACTATTACTAGAAAACTGGGGGTGTTTGGCAATTAAATCCATGCCTGTTTCATCCACTTCATCTCCACAACTCCCGGAGGACATATACATAAATTAGAACCCTTTGGGCTTTTAATTATATGTTCTGAAAGGATAACATGGAAAGGGTAGTATGTTGTGTTTCAAATGCACATGCCTAAACTAGCCAAGATCTGTCTTTATTGAGACCTATCTTGGGAGTAGAGGTTTTAGGTATTCCTCGAAAGAGGAGCCTAAATAGAAATATACAGACAGATAAAACTTTAATTTGGCCAGAAGCAATTTTAACTATAGTCTTGGGATATAGGACACTTGACTAATAGTTGAATGAGTTAAATGTCCTTATGCCATTCTTCCCATAAACACTTATTTAATAATGTTATTTTTTTCTCGTAGAATTGGATTTGGTATAACTGCCTCATAAAGATTCGATGATGTCTTCATGTTTTTGTTGATTTGCTTTCTATAAACACTGCATATCTAATGTGTAATAAGCATTCTGTTGAAAATCTTTTGTCTTTTTATATTTTAAATTTTACTGTAGTGTTACTAGCTCCGAGGTTTTTCTTTCTCTCCTATTTGATACTGAGAGCTGACCCTGTCGTTCTGACCTTTTTCATCTTGTTCTGAAGAAATTCTCTCTCATTATCTATTGAACTAAATTTCTCACCGCTTTTATTCCTTTTTCTGGAGCATCACTTATGTGGACATTAGTCTTTCATAACTGTATTTCCTGGTGCTTTTTCTCTTCCTTTTTCTTCTGGGAGATCTGGTCTTCCAACTAGCTGCTCCTTCAGGTATATGTGTTCTATTATCTATCTCATCTATTGTGTTTTTTAGTTCAACTATTATATTCTTTAGACTTAATATCTCTGTACTGTTTTTTGTTTTCTTCTTTTACACTCTAAATCTCTTACTGTTATTTTAAGAAGTTTAAATTCCTAATCTGGTCTATCCTTTCTGAATTTCATATAATTTAGAATCCATTTTGTTTTTCTTCCATGAAATACTTGTCCTCAAATATCTTGTCTTACTGTGTATTGGCTATTCTCAAGTAATGCAGAAGGAGACAGGCTGTGTTTAGGGTCCCTGGGGACCCTTGTAAAAACTGTAACTGAGTCCCACCTCAGAAATTGATCTAACCAGTTTTTTAAAGGTGCCAGATCATTCTAATGTGCAGCCTGGGTTGAGAACCACTGCTGCAGTCTGTGTTAGCCCCAGTGATAACCTCAAGGGATGAAAGTAGGTAAGCTGTGGGGTTGCCAGCCCAGGTCCCACAAGACTACAGGTGTCTCAGGACACAACTCCTCACCTTTGAGGAGGAGCTGGACAAAAGCAGATTTAAAGGCTGTACGCTTTAATCTTCTACCGTCATTCATCAGCTCACTGGTGTGGAGAAGGAAGAGTGAGACAGTGGATATCAGGGATTAGTTCCCACCTGTTGCTCTCAGCTCTTCACAGCAGGATTTCTTTTCAGACTGCCCTACCTTTGCTCCTGAACATAGACCAGCGTTCCCAGTTTTTGTAAGTGAGGCAGCATATACCAAATGCAGGGTGATTGAGAGGGAGCACCAAGAGCAGAATTTCTTTTATTTTTTTTTTAATTTATTTTAGAGAGAGAACACAAGCAGGGGGAGAGAGAGAGAGAATCTCAAGCAGACTCCTGTCTGAGTGCAGAACCTGATGCGGGACTCAGTCTCACGACCCTGAGATCATGACCTGAGCCGAAATCAAGAGTTGGCCGCTTCACCAACTGAGCCACTCAGGCGCCCTGAGAGCAGAATTTCTAAGTTCTTGTTTTCTTTCTTCCTGTCTTAGCTTCTCACAAGCACAAGCACTTCCCTCCTGCCCTAGGCAGAGGCACTCCCCTTCATCCTGCACACACACATTCAGACCATCCTGGGTCTCCAGAGGTTTCTTTTGTTTGGTTTCCCTCTGTTGTGTCAGCATCTTCCTAGGGCTTTGGTCATGGGGACGTAAGTAACAATGCAACCTTCTCATTAAAAAGGTGGAGATTAAATGTCTGGCTCTCTCATTGTGATGACCTCAGGAAAGGCTCTAATGATCTCGAACGAAAACTGGACTTTAAAGAAGCTTCGATTATAGGAGTTGAGAAGGTGGCAAGAGCACCAGTGATATGAAAGTGAGCATATGTGAATAATGTTCAGTTAATGGGCTCAAAACGAGAGAGAGAGAGATATTAAGAGTCTAACAGACCTAGTTGAGTCTCAGCCCTGCCACTTACTAGCTGTCTGGCGACAGTTCTGAGGCATAAATGAGTATGTGGATACTCAGTACCTCTAGCCCATAAACTCTCAATAAAGTCCCGTGTATGTGACTTTGAAGATCCTGTTACAAAGTTTTTGTGAGAAGAATGTAAATGTTACTAACACTTTGAAGAGGGCCAGTATGGAAAGATGACATCTTTTCTCTAGAGGATAGAATAGAAGGTTTTATATTTATGAAATGATAGAATCCCAGATAATATATTTTTCTCTTTCTCTTATCAGAAACATATACTCGCTTGAAAGGACATATTCTTGTATCAGTTTGTCGCACTCTCCCGATCTTGGCTTATTTCCTTGGTCTTTGGGACACTGGCTCTCAGCTTTGGCTGCTAATTGGAATTGCCTGAGTGGCTTTTTTTTTAATTGTGGTAAGAGACACCTAACAAAACATGCAGTTTAGTGGCATTACATACATTCACATTGTTGTGCAAGCATCCCCACCATCCTTCTCAGAACTTCTTCATCTTCCCATGCTGAAACTCTCTACTTTGAAACTCTATACTTTTAAACACTGACTCCCCATTACCTGGCCACCGCCATTCCACGGTCTCCATGAATTTGACTATTCTAGGAACCCCAAATAAGTAGAATCTTACAGCATTTGTCCTTTTTTATCTAGCTTTTTTCACTGAGTGTAATACCCTAAAAGTCCATCCATGTTTGAACATGTGTCAGAATTTCCTTCCTTTTTAAAGCTGAGTATGTATATGCTACCTTTTGTTTATCCATTCATCCGTGGACATTTTGGGTTATTTTCACCTTCTGGCTGATGTGAATAATGCTGCTATGGGCGCACAGTGTCTATTCCTGCTTTCAGTTCTTTTGGGTATATAGCCAGAAGCGAAACTGCTGAATCATAGAGTAATTCTGCTTAGTTTCTTGAGGACCCATCATACTGTTCTCCATGGCAGCTGAACCATTTTACATTCCTACTGGCAGTTCTTTAAGAGTTGCAGTTTCTCCACGTTCGCAGTTTCTCCACATTCTCGCTAACATTTGTTTTTTGTTTGTTGTTGTTTTGTAATAATAGCCATCCTAATGGGTATGAAATGGTATCTTATTGTAGTTTTGATTTGCATTTCCCTGATTACTAGTGATGTTGACCGTCTATTCACATACATATATTCTGGGTATTAATCCCTTGTCAGTATATGCTTTGCCCATATTTTTCCCCATTCCATGGGTTGCCTTTTTACTATCTTTTATTTTTTATATCAAATTTGATATTAAGCCATACCTGCTACTTATGTGACTCTGATCTGCATCCTAGACTCCAGATAAGGTTGAGCCTGTTGATTCCATAATTCTTATTTGCCCATGTAAATATTATGCTCTATAACTAGTCTCATAAGAGGTTATATGATCCTTGTATTAAATATTAGATGGGCTGACTTGGATACTTGAATGACAATAGGAAATTTCCTACTTATTGCAAAAGTTACAATGAGTACATTTTTTCTAGTTAAATTAACACTTGCCCAAGGAGGAAGTTAACTTTTTTCTTTAACTTGTGTTTTTGGTTTACTTCAAAAACCTACTAGAATCAAGGTTGGTGATTTTACATCTTCTACCTGTAGAGGGAGTAATGACACTGAAGAATAATAAAAGTCAAAAAGGAAATGAGATTTCAAGTACATTATATTGTTTGGTATTGGGATCAAATTACAGAAGGAAGTCAGCTTTTCTTTTTAAAATGAAGAAAATCTATCCATATGTAGGATTTTTAGAATGAGAGAAAACGCAGAACTGCAAGAATGAGAGCAGCGTTACAGAGAAGTCAGTTTTTTTGTTAAGGAACATTTAGAATGTCACAGCGACCTGAACTTACAAATGGGCTGGGTTCCTCAAGTTTATGAGTTGGCTTTTTGAAGCTCGGGCTGCATTTTTCCCATAGAAATGTCTATAAAGAACAGTTAATTTCTCATCCAGGGAGGTTTATACTCTGGAGAATATTTATATTTGGGGTAACTGAACTGAATGTGGGCCCAATACAGATACAGCTTGTCCTGTAGTCTCTCCACGTGGGAGATGAGGCCAATTGTTCTCTGTATCTAGTAAAATATTTTTCTAGGTCCCCTATTATCTCAGTCTTTTACTCCCTTTTTCTGTGTGGGGGTTACTCCAGGACACATATTCCCTTGTTACCCAAACTCTCAACTATCCAACTCAACAACTAACTAATTTAGGAAGTCTTTTTGTGCTAGGCTCTTTGGAGGGAAATCACAAGTGAACCTTTGGAACTGATTAGCTTCAGTTCAGAGGGCCCAGGGTATATATATTTATCTACTGGATGCGTGTTTCTTGCTGTGTTTTCTTTCATTTCTTTCCTTTAACAGTCATACAATTGCAGCCAATACTAGCTTTGGATCCACCAGGCATTCCAAATATGGAAAACTTCTGTTTTAAAAAGTAAATATACACAGTATGGATAGAGGTCTCTGAGCAGAGTAGAATGTTTGTATGACGTCCCTGTGGGTGGAAGCTCAAACCAGAAGGAGCCCTGTCTCCTAGGCAGATACTGGAATGCAGGGAGGAGTGGCTGGGGCTTGGTGTGACCCAGCACCTCCTTATCCTTCTCTCTTAAAATATTTGGAGTCAGAAAAGTGATAGCATTTATGCTTTTCAGGTCAAATTAACTTAAAACTCTTTCCTTTGTAATTTGTTTAAACCAGTATAGAAAGCAGGGCAACACTGAGCAACATCCCTAAGAACTGTGTTGAAAAGTGAATTGGGAGGTGGCCCTATATCATGTAACTCCTGGCACTTGTCTAGTAGACATGCTCCACCTTCTGTGACTTACCCCACACAGACATCATAGTAACAAGTAGGCCAAGCCCCACCTATTTTATTTCCTGATAAAACAGGAAAGTACTTGCAAATTGACCTAATACCAGGTAAAACTTAACCTGCAATTGTTTAAGTTGTATCCTTAAGTATAGAAATTGTGAGATTTAATCAAGAGGGCTCCTCTTTCTGGTGGGCAGAGTTCTTGAAGTTCCCACTGAAACCAGTACGTCATATCTGAGAAGGGGCAGGTTCCCCTAATTAGAGCAGTCATCACACTTCTCATAACTTATTTCATTAGGTAGGTAGCCAGGCAGGGAAGGAGAAGGGAAGGAAAGGAGGACTTATTTATAGTAACATTTCCAAAACCACATAGAAGAATACAACTATGCAATTGAATAATTAAAGCTATTTATCAATATGGAAACTATTAGGAAATATTGTTATTTGGAAAAATATTTTAAATATAATTAAATTCAGTTCATTAGCATTTGTTTTTAGCTGAGTACAAGAAAAATTTACCACTAATTTCTTTGCAAATATTAATTATAAGCTATTGTAATATCTAGTTATTTAATAAATGAAAAGTTTATTCCAGGCTTACTGGTTTCTAAATATTAAGAGTGATAAGAAATTTGTGTCAAATTCTTCTAAATGAAATTTCCATAGTAGAAATCTGGTCTAAGGGCAGCACTATCAGATAGCCAAAACTCTGTCCACATGGTAAGTATGACAAAGTCATCCCAAAAGTGGAGGACCCTTAGTCCATGTGTAGATACCAGAAGAAGGAGAGAATAACAGGTGGACCAAGAACTGGATTGGACTTCTGGTACATGTAGGAATAGTAAACTCTAAAACTGTTGAACCTGAAAATAACCAGACTCCGAACACTCAAAAGTACATTCATCCTACAAAGGACCAGTACCCTGCATCTGTATACAAGACAAATAATTTTTTTTAAAAGATTTTTTATTTATTTATTTGACAGAGAGAGACATAGCGAGAGCAGGTACACAAGCAGGGGGAGTGGGAGAGGGAGAAGCAGGCTTCCCGCTGAGCAGGGAGCCCGATGTGGGACTCGATCCCAGGACCCTGGGATCATGACCTGAGCCGAAGGCAGACGCTTAACGACTGAGCCACCCAGGCGCCCACAAGACAAATAATTTTTAATTATAAATGTTCAATAAATGTTTCTTGTCTGAATGGCATACTTAAGAGTTTGGGACCTCCCAGCACATTTCATTGGATTATCACAGCAGCTAGAGTAGACAAGTCAGGTTATAAACCAGCCTAAAGTTACAGAAGAGTGAAAAGGGGAGTTCAGTGATGTGCCTGGTCATTCTCTTTCACAGTGGCAGTGCCTTACGGTCTCCCACTGATAAGGGATTCATTACCAAAAGGAACAGATCCATCTCTTATCACTGAGTTAGCCCACCCTGAAATTGGGAGCAGTGAATAGAAGTTGAGGTGACAAGAGAAGCAAAAGGAATTATGAAGAATTTCTGCTGAATCAGTTCTGTTCCATTCTTGATTGGTGAGAAAAGCAAAAGAAAGCTAAAAATTCACCACAAACTAGAAGGCACTTGCTGCTGAGCTTTGTCTGCCACAGGTATTCTCTCATCTCGTCTAGTAACTGGTACCCAGGTTCGCAGACCACCTCTGTTCCTAGCAAAACCTACCGCTTAGTACATGCGTTGCAGTTAAGGACATAGTTGACCAGCTTCTCACGTTTATTAGCTGGCTTTTCCCTTGTGAAGTTTGCTGTTGGACAATAGCGCAGTGTTGTTCGTTCTTGTACTCTGTATATTCTCATTCTCCACAGGGGCTGTGCACCTGGCCTCGTAAGTGGAATTGGAAAGGCACAAATGCTTCTGAACATAAGCTTATATTTTCTTCGTCCCTTTGGGTAAATTTTTTCAGTAAATGATGTAGATAAATAGAAGGATACCACACATAGTGCTACGAACAAGTCCTGTGCTAACAGCTGGGGACTTCCTGATTCTCTGGTCTGTTGTGCTTTATGTAACTAGTTAAATTTAAGAACAGTCTTCATGTTTCCAGTTTCCAGATTCCAGCTCTGAGAACAGGTAAGAAGTAAAGCTTAGTGAACTGATTTTTGGTAGCCTTCTCCTAAGAGACTAATGCAGGTAAACTTTTAATGCCCAGGAGAATTTTTTTTGACATATGCCCACTGCCGCCCTGTTGATAATGGTGGCTTTTAAAAATCATACTTCTTTTAATCAACAAGTAAATATTTGGAAAAAAGGAAACAGGAAATGATACCTGAGAGCCTGAGGTAGCATTCAAATTATCTGAAAAACTATTAGCACAAAAAACAAGATTCATTCACTTAAAAAAAAATTTTTTTTAAAGATTTTATTTATTTATTTGACAGAAACAGTGAGAGAGGGAACACAAGCAGAGGGAGTGGGAGAGAGAGAAGCAGGGAGCCCGATGCAGGGCTTGATCCCAGGACCCTGGGATCATGACCTGAGCTGAAGGCAGACGCTTAACGACTGAGCCACCCAGGCGCCCAAGATTCATTCACTTACACATAAAAATCTCATTTCTGTTTACCATGTGC